TACTAATGATTGCACAGTGTCATTGGACTTTTTAACCAGTAATAAAGATGATCTTTAGTACCGGTTGATAATAGATCCGAGATATTTGTGTTTTAGGGTACCACGATGAAAGATCAGTTCTCCAATGGTGAAGGTAAGAATACCCAAAAGTTAGTCACTCCATTATGTTAACATATGCAAGAGGAGAGGACGGTGAAGAACAAAATTTCCGTCAATAAGAAACACATGAATATTGTATGAGAGAATTTGCATGAATTATAAACATCTTTATAGTTCAATTGAGAAAAAAAAATTACAAGCAACTTATCGAGGGTCTAGAATCATGTATGGATGACCCATAGTTATCAACTGATATATGATACACTAAAGATTCAAAATCTCCTCCATGACCATACCTATTGCATGATGCATATGTCTATGCAGTTAAACAGATCATGGTGCTCTTCAGAGACCTGCCTGCAACTTCCATATGTGAAGTAGTGTCATTTACCTCGTCGTTGGGGTTGACGGTGTCGAGTCGGGCACACGGAGCCGCATACGGAGGCGTGGGAGGAGGCACAGTAGGTGAGGGGGCCGGCAGCAACGGAACAAGATAGCTGCACGGTGTGGTGGAGACTTGGCAACAATCGTGGGCGGTGGTGTGTGGGTGTGAATGACGGGCGGAGGTTGATAGTGAATAAGCGGAATCGGGCGATGACGTGGTCTTTGAGACAGGTGGCGATTAGTGGCGGATCACAATGGGGATTTGTGCCGACCGAACACCACGGTGGTCCCAACAATGATGGATCGGTGGCATGATGGCGGAGGTGGGGGATCGGCGAGGATGGGGCAGAGGATGTGTGGGATCGGTGACAGCGAGTTGGGGACTAGGGTTCGGCGATGCTGAGAGCTGGATTTGGGGAGCTGGATTTGGGGTGGAGGAATCGGTGATGAATAGCGGTGTAAGCCGCGGTGTATGGGGGCAGCGACATTTGCGAGAGGAAAAGGATTGATGGGGGTGCGATTTAGGGCAGGAAACAGCGATCCGCGTTGCGCGATTTTGGGAGAGGGTTCGGATGATACGCAAGGGGTGCAGGGGCGGGTGTTAAAGATATTGTTATTTTATGTGATAGGATAAGTTAGTCCTATCTGTAGTTAGTTGTTTTCCGATAGATTGATTTGATCTTATCACATGTAATGCGTGATCTGTTGTAACAGCCACGGTAGGGGCTTTTCCTACCCTATATAACATGCAGGCGAACCCGAGAGAAAGGGTATCGTTTCCTCCAAAGTATTACATGGTATCAGGGCCTATCCCTTCAATACCGATTCAATCTCTCCAATCCTATCTCCATCTATGGCTTCTTCTTCCTCCGTCGGCTCTCCTTCCTTGCATGGGCAGATGGTGTCAGCGAAGCTGACCAAATCCAACCATGTTCTATGGAAGGCACAAGTTCTTGCCACTCTAAGAGGAGCTCAGATGGCAGGATTCCTTGATGGCGCAAGCCAGGCGCTATCGGCCATCATGTTGGTGTCCGGCAAGGACAACGACGGGAAGGAGGTCACCGAGAAGGTGTCAAATCCTGCGCATGCGGTGTGGATTGTGCAGGAGCAGCAGGTTCTCAGCTACCTACCATCTTCTCTCTCGCGCAACATGCTAATTCAAGTCACCACCCTGACAAGAGCCTCTAAGGTGTGGGAGGCTATCGAAGGGATCTTTGCTTCTCAATCCAGGGCACATGTGATCAACACGCACATGGCGCTGTCCACCACCAGGAAAGGCAACCTTAGTGTTGCCGAATATATTGGTAAGATGAAAGCTTTGGCTGACGAGATGGCATCTGCAGGAAAGCATCTTGACGATGACGATCTGATCTCATACATCCTCACAGGCCTTGACTTCGTGGTGTCCTCTGTTGCTGCACGTGTAGAGCCCATGACAGTGGGTGATCTGTATGCGCAACTGCTGAGCTTTGAGCAGCGCATGGAGTTGCTCCAAGGCGGTTCGCGGTCCTCTACAAACTCCATGTTGTGTGGAGGGTGCGGAGGTGGACGTGATGAACACGGGCATGGAAATGGCGGTGGCGACCGCGGTCGTGGCTACTGCCATGACAATGACGGAAAGGGCAACAACACCAACAAACCAATCTGCCAGCTGTGTGGCAAGGTTGGCCATACTGCCATCAAATGTTGGAAAAGGTTCGACACCTCTTATGCAGGGGAAGAAAAGGTTGCTAGAGCTGCCATGTCCACCTATGGCATAGATACCAACTGGTATGTAGACACAAGAGCTACGGATCACATCACCGGTGAGCTTGAGTGAAGGACAAATACAACGGGAACGACAAAGTTCACACTGCTAGTGGCTCAGGTATGGATATTAACTATGTTGGTTCAGCTATTGTTCATTCACCTGTTCGTGATCTACATCTCAAAAATAGCCTTCATGTTCCTAGAGCCCAAAAGAACTTAGTATTTGTGATTGAACAATAGTTGAACCAAGTCCGGGATAGACACACCCCACAGCCGACATAGACGCACCCCACAACCAGCAGCACCGAGTCTGGGATCTCCTATGGCCTCTATCCCTGTGATTGAGCCGTCGGAGCCATCTGCAACAGTAGAAGAACATTCACATGTGGCTGCAAACGATCCTGCTCCAAGACGGCTGACACGCTTGCAGCATGGAATCAGAAAACCAAAAGGATATACTGATGGCACAGTGAAGTATAATCCTAGTATGGCCCACTAACAGAGATAGGAGAACCATCTACTTTACATGAAGCTCTTAGTAACAAGAATTGGAAAGATGCCATGGATAAGGAATTTACTGCTCTTATGCATAATAAAACTTGGCACTTAGTCCCACATATACAAGGAAAGAATATAATTGATTGCAAGTGGGTTTACAAAATTAAGAGAAAAGCAGATGGTTCGATTGATAGGTATAAGGCACGGCTAGTTGCAAAGGAGTTTAAACAAAGATATGGTATTGATTATGAGGACACTTTTAGTCCTGTTGTTAGGGCAGCAATTATTCGTCTAATCCTATCGATCGGTTGCAGTTTCTAGAGGTTGGAGCCTAAGACAGCTACATGTACAGAATGCCTTCTTGCATGGTTATTTAGAAGAGGAGGTATATATGAGACAACGACAAGAAGTCTCTGCACTCGCTGTCTAAGTTCGACAAGGCACTTGGCTTGAAACAAGCACCGCGAGCTTGGTACTCTCGCCTAAGTAAGAAATTGTAGGAGCTTGGCTTCACTTGTTCGAAAGCTGACACATCACCGTTTTTCTATAACAAGTATTAGTATTTGTTGATGATATTATTGTTGCAAGCTCCACACAGGCACTGAGTGTTTGTTAAAGGATCTAGAAAAGGAGTTTGCACTTAAGGACTTGAGGGATCTTCATTACTTCTTGGGAATCGAAGTCAAGAAGACCAGGGAAGGTTTGCTATTGACTCAAGGAAGGTACCACTTCTGAAATCTTACAAAGAGCAAATATGAGTACATGCAAACCTGTAAACATCCCTCTGTCCACGTCGGGAAAACTATCATCAATGAGGGATTGTTTTGACTCTACACAGTATAGAAGCTTAGTGCTTTGCAATATCTAACCTTGACCTGGCCAGATATTTCTTTTTTTGTGAACAAAGTATGCCAATTTCTGCAGCAGCCCACAGCAGCGCACTGGAGTGCGGTCAAACGGATACTTAGGTATCTTAAGGGAACACAAGATGTAGGTCTGAAAATTAATGTCTTCATCTATTATGATTAGTGCTTTTTCTAGTGCTGATTGGGCAGGATGTGTAGATGATAGAAGATCAACAGGAGGTTTTGCAGTGTTTTTAAGATCAAATCTTGTTTCCCTGGAGTGCAAGAAAATAAGCAACGGCCTCTAGGTCCAGCATGGAGGCTGAATAGAAGGCTTTGGCAAATGCAAACTGCAGAGGTAATGTGGGTAAGAAAATTACTTGATGAAATTAGTGTCCCACAATCTGGTCCAGCAAGGCTTTGGTGTGATAATCTAGGTGCAACCTATCTATCAGCAAATCCAGTCTTTCATGCTAGAACTAAGCACATAGAGATTGATTTTCACTTTGTGCGTGAGCAAGTGGCGTAGAAGCTACTGGATATTAAGTTTGTGCCAACAGATGACCAAGTAGCAGATGGGTTTACAAAGTCACTTCCTGTTATAAGGCTTGAAATGTTTAGAAACAATCTCAACTTATATAAGTTGTGATTGAGGAGGGGTGTTAAAGATATTGTTATTTTATGTGATAAGATAAGTTAGTCCTATCTATAGTTAGTTGTTTTCCGACAGATTGATTTGATCTTATCACATGTAATTCATGAACTATTGTAACAGCCACAGTTGAGGCTTTTCCTATCCTATATAACACGCAGGCGAACCCGAGAAAAAGGGTATCGTTTCCTCCAAAGTTTTACAGTGGGGATGCGCGGAGGGAAGTGCAGGAGAGAGGGAGAGCAATGTGTGGATCTGGAAGGGAGGTGCTATGGGAGAGGCGCGGATGCGGAGGGAGGTGTAGGAGACGCGCGGATATGTGATGGTGCCGTTAGATGCAACTCATCAAATCGTTTTGGATCGTTGGATTTGTCACATAATGAATGAGTAAAATGAGTTGGTGAACTATAAGGTAGATAGATGTAAAAGAGAAACAAAGGGAAAAGAATTCACGGGGACCACGTACATGGAAAAGGTTATACCAAAAAAAAGGAGTGTCACCGTATCTGGTAGCAACTAGATCTCCCACGCCGGCGCGCGAGCATCAGCGGTTTTGTTGCGTAACACCGAATGTAATCATGGCGTCCATTCGTCCAACCAGGGCGCCAAACACAACTAGCTGTAGCTGGCTGCTGAAATGGGAAGTTTGTTGTGGTTTGGCCGGTTTCTGACGCGCGCAACCGCAGTGCATGAAATAGGTTCTTTCTTGCCGTTGTAACCAAAACGCATGCATACGTACGTAAGTGACACCAGCCACCATGCATGCGAATGGCCAGGGAATATATGCATTGTATCGTATGTGTTTCAGGCACAAGTACGACTCCGCTGGGTTGGCATCGTCACCTCTCGAACTATTTTCTTGTTGCTTGTTGTAAGTTATAACTGCTGCTCCCCCACTTTTATGTAATATACTTGCACTAAATAAAAGGGCAGCGCAGGCAACAAAGCCGTTCACCTGTCGCCACCATCCAAACCAAGTATCTCGTGCCTCGCAAAGGAGAAGGGAAAAAAAAAAACCTAGTATCTCGTGATATCTGTCTCCTCCAAACAAAAAAGAATCTGTGCAAGATCTCTCTCCCTCGATCGATCTATCAGCTTGCAGCAGTGTGCACATGGATCCTAATGCCGTGCACGTCCAAATGCCCGCCGTTGACACCGAAGCGTGCTGTGACGATGAGAAGAATCCGCAGCCTGCACGGGAGATCATCAGCGACCACGTCGCCGTTCGGCCGACACCGGCGGTGGACAAGACGCTGTCGGGCGCGTCGGACCTGTTGAAGCTCCTGCCGACGGGCACGGTGCTGGCGTTCCAGGCGCTGGCGCCGTCCTTCAGCAACCACGGCGTCTGCCACGCCGTCGCCAACCGGTACCTGGTCCTGGCGCTCATCGGCGCCTGCGCGGCATCCTGCATGCTCCTCTCCTTCACGGACAGCCTCATCGGCCACGATGGCAAGCTCTACTACGGCGTTGCCACCCTCCGCGGGTTCCGACCCTTCAACTTCGCCGGCACGCGGGAGGAGCACGGCACCGTGTTCAAGGACCTGTCCAGGTTCAGGATCACTGCGCTCGACTTTGTCCACGCCTTCTTCTCGGCGGTGGTGTTCCTGGCCGTCGCCTTCGCCGACGCAGCCGTGCAGACGTGCCTCTTCCCGGAAGCAGAAGCGGACATGAGGGAGCTGCTGGTGAACCTGCCGCTTGGCGCCGGGTTCCTGTCCAGCATGGTGTTCATGATCTTCCCCACCACCAGGAAGAGCATAGGCTACACAGACATGACGCCCCACTCGCAGTGATGACATTTCATTCAAATGCATGCAGCCATGGAGTGTACACCATCCGTCCCAAAATAAATTAAATCCTATGTACAAATCTAGATGTAGTAATATTATCTAGAATCGTAATTAGGATTTAATTCTTTTTTGAGATGGAGGGAGTATATATAGGATAATATTTCTCTCCCAAGTACTACAGAATGTTCTAATTAACAAGCTAACAAGCTATATGCATGCAATACATCTAACAAGCCCTTCAAGCTATGGTCAGCTCTATCTGGGCTTTCATGAATTAAGTTGTATACTGAAGCTCCGAAGACACGTACTCAAGAGCCACAATAACTGTTTTTTTCACAATTTGGTACTCTTGAAAAACTTATTTCATAAATAGACCCCTGAAAAAACTTATCCCTAAAATGATTCTTTTTGGGGCGCTAGAGTCACTGGCACCATCGTCCAATGGGACGGCGCCATATCCAATGGAAAGCTAAGAAGATAATCTTTCCAATGGTTCTGTTCCCATATCCAAATTCTTTCCGAGTCATCGGGAATCGACCGTACAAATTGACGCCCATAATTTGTTCCGATGCTGCGTCGTCGTATTTTAGCCCTTGGGCCGTGTATCGTGTTGGTGCCTATTAGGGTTATGTCAAGGGGTATTTGCACGACCCTAAACTCTATATATTAGTAGCTGCCGCTACCTTTAAGGTTTAGGTTTTGCTTATATTATTCTGTCAAGAACAGTTTCGCTGATCCTTCGGTTTGAGATCCCAACTTGTGAGCTTAATCATTCATATGCAATTTGGTTGTATTATTTCTTGTTCTTGTTTGTGTTCTTTGATTTGCAAGGAGGGATTAGCCTTCTCGACGAGGTCAACCGGGTTTCGACACGAGTGATAACCAGAGGAGACATGGTGCTGCGATTGCAGGGCTCAAGAGCGGGTTCGTTCAGAAGCCAGATCGATTTGTGTCATGACTCCATCAAATTGACTGCTTATCAGAACCTTTCGGAAGATCGGGAACGGAAACCCTTGTCCACATCATTTTCTGTACATGTCCGTGGATATATAATTTGCCTGATTCCGAGTCCGTATGAGAAAGTTATGTATGTTTTAAGAAAAGCCACTCGAATGTAAAAGAAAAAATAAACTCAACAAACCTTTTTTTATAGGATGTAAAAAAAAGCAATGTACTAATTTTTTGGTTTTTTTTGGACTATAGGAAAAAAAACAACGAAGAACATGAAGTCTCTTACCAACATAATCTAGAGTGAATTTGATAAAAGGGGAGAGAGAGCATTCGGACTCGAAGCGCCGCAGCGAGGGGCTAACGCGCTCCCCCCCCCCCCCCCCCCCCGGCACTATATGGCCGCCATGGTAGGGGGGGGCAGCATCTCTTGAGTCCAAAAAGGACAATTTCAGAGATAAGTTTTTTCAGAGATATATTTGTAAAATAAGTTTTTAAAAGAACCAAATTGTAAAAAATCCAGGCCACAATAACATCCTATGCTCATCGCATGCGTAAGCATCAATGCACACGATAAGCAAAATTGATCGCATCGATTCTGTAAAAAAAAAAAAGGAGTTGGCGTAGAAACAGACTCCAATATTCTATGCCAACTCCAAAATTGTGGACTTGAAATTGCAATGTACCTACTAGGCAAAATAGACAAATAGCTACTCTCTCCCTCCGTCCTATAATATAAGAAATTTTTACATTTTATTTACACTGTTTGATCACTCGTTTTATCAAAAAAAAATTATATAAATATAAAAAACGAAAAGTTATGCTTAAAGTGCTTTGAATAATAAAGTACTACCTCCGTCACATAATATAAGGGATTTTAAGTTTTAGTTTACACTGTTTAATCACTCGTCTTATTCAAAAAATTTGTGCAAATGTAAAAAAAAAAAGTCGTGCTTAAAATACTTTGGATAATAAAGTAAGTAAAAAAGTAATAATTCCAAAAATTTTTGAATAAGACGAGTGGTCACAATGTAAGCAAAAACTCAAATTCTCTTATATTATGGGACGGAGAGAGCAAGTAAAAAAAATGAATCTAAACTTTTTGAATAAAACGAACAGTGAAAAAAAAAAGTCAAAATCTTATTAAGAGACGGAGGAAGTACATATGAAGCTATACAAATGCACAGCACACCTTCTATATTTATAACCCCTGATCTCTCGGGAATAGATAGAAGGTTGTAAGCCTTTAAGATTCACAAGAGATTATGTGATATTTTTCTAGATATGTACATATTTGGTTAATTGACAATTATTTATTTTCAAGATGAGTTTGCCTATGGCTAACAAGACTATTGCGAAACCCCATAAAGGCATATATTTTCAACATCCACTTATAATTTGGTTGAGTGCATTAAAAACAATCAATTTACTACCCAGATTTAGTTTATTCTTAAAATTTCAATAGTTTGCTCAATTTGGTCCCATCTAAGATTTATTTTCATAACATAGTCCCTGTTTAGGGAGCTTTTGACTACAAATACTCTGCTCTTAATATCTCCCACCTGTACCAAACAACCCAAATTCTCATCCAGCTCCCCAGATAGCCCAGATTTTGTCACGCAAATTGAGACTAAATGGTTACATAATCTAGAAAATGTACAATTTTATTAGTTTGGATACTCACCGGACCGGCTACAATCTCCAGCTTTTCAAATAGGCCGTTAATATTCTGCAATAAATATGGACATAACTAAATATGTATCAACAAATAAATGGGAGCATATTCCGTATGTTGGGTGGATCTGCAGGCATCTTTGAAGTATATACATCTTTAGTAACTCGTCATCAATCTTATGTACATGTTAGCAGGAAACAAGAGAGAAAAAAAAAGCCAAGTAAAATACAACGCCTATTTGCATTATCTTGTTCCATGAAGTATAAAAGCTATGACGAAAGAAGTGAAGGGACAGCCCCAAGCCCCCAAGTGGGGTATTTCTGTTGGATTCAGTATAGACCTATCAAGTTAGTCTTTTCATCAAAATACTTTTAATCAAGTAGTTTGATTCTACGCCATTAGCAAAACTGGTGATATACTAGTCTGGCTTGGTATACTCAAGCAGCATATGAGGTGACCTGTATATATTTACCAATGTCCAATATAGAACTTCTTCCACTTCTAACTCACCCTCTGCTCGTGCTGCATAAATGCCTTCACAGATGTCAAGTAACCTATAGAAGACAAATATTTTCCATTACTGCAAAGAGAACAAACATGGAGAGAAAAATAGGAGGCAATCTGTTTATTCCGTGTAACCATTTATAGTTTTCAACAACTTATGATATATATCCTTAAAACCAGGACTCTGATATGCCCTGTTAGCTTCAGATTATAGCTTCAAGTACCAGCCAAAAACTAGATCACTAAATTATAGCTTCAAATTGGATAACTAGTTTTTTTTGAAGCCTTGCTACACAGTACAGTGCTAGTAGATTTCGCTGTCCTGAGCTAATCTTAGCTAATTGGATATTATAGTAAAATCATACAAGATCCATGATCATTTTCGTATGATGTTTCCGTTTGAGAACAAAAATGGGGAAAGAAAAAGGAAGATTTCTAGTAGTAGATAAAAATCATGTATCAACAAATTAAATGTGTGCGGTGTTACTCCATTGTAAAATTCCAAAACTATCATCAGGGCACTTGATGCAGAATGTGAAGAAATAGTTTCAGGAGAAGAGAAGAGCAACTATAGTCTATATGCCGTTTTCCAGCTGAAGTTGTGTCAAGGGTTCTTGCTTAATCCGTGAAGTTAATCTGATGCATTCATGGCATCTAGCCTCATAAAGGTGAAACGGAACTTTCTCCGTTTTGGATCCTTTATAATTAAAGATGGCTCCCAAATCAGGTTTTGGGAAGACAAATGGTTGGGCAATTCAACCTTGAAAGAATAGTATCCTTGCCTTTACAACATAGTTAGGCATAAGCAGGCTACAGTTGCACAAGTCCTTGAAACCAATCCTCCATCTTTTTCATGTAGAAGAGACCTTATAGGATCAAAACTAGCTGCGTGGAATAATCTATTACCACGTATGACTGGTTTTCAATTAACTCAAGAGCAAGACGAGTTTCATTGGAACTTAACCTCAAATGGGCAGTTCTCGGTGAAGTCTCATTATTTAGCTCTAATTCACAGCAATGTTCCCAACATTAATAAGCGTCTTTGGAAATAGATACCCCTAAAAGTTAAGATTTTTCTTTGGTACTAACAAAGAAAATAAGATTTTTCTTTGGTACTAACAAAGAAAATGGCAAGGATAATTTGACAAAAAGAAAATAGCAAGGCAATAAGAACTGGTTTTTGTTGCAATGACAAGACAATTAGACATCTTTTCTTCGAATGTCGTTTTGCCCATTCTGTTTGGTCCATCATCCAAGTAGCATCTAGACTTCCTCCACCGCATTGTGTAGCGCATATGTTTGGGAGCTGGCTTGCTGGACTTTATAATAATTTGAAAGCACGTGTCCTGTTAGGAGTATCTGCTACTTGTTGGTCGCTTTGGCTATACAGGAATAATGTAGTTTTTAATAAAATAAGTCATATCTTCACCTTTGCAGGTTATACATTCTCTTATTCATTGGCTTCGTACATGGCTATCCTACAGAAGTCTGGTTCGCTGGATAAGGTGGTTGCGGCATGTCTACATTTGGAGAAGGTTGTCAAGAAGTTTTTTACCCAAGGATATGGGTGGCGATCTCTAGTCTTAGGATTGGTGGCTCTTAATACTCTCTGCTTTTGGAGGAGATGGCCAAGGAGTTGTTCATGGGTGGCAATTTAGACTTTGGATTGATGGTTCTCAATACTCCCATGTCATTCTTTTTTTCCTTTTGAGTGTGGTTTTGTATGTTCGGCTGTGTGCATCTTAGTTATGCAGAGGCCGGAAGTGTTCTCAAGATAATTGTATCACCTTGATGTAACTGAGTTCAATAAAAACTTCCATTATCTAAAATATATCATAAGTACATACCTGTCACAAGATGGAAGATTCTCATAAGGTATTCTCATTCTCAGATCTGAGCATTGCAGTCTAATAAATCTTGCAACAGCTAACACAAAGGTAATGTACAAACTCCAAATGCTGAATTTGCTCAGTGTTTCACCAATAATACCCTCTGAAAAGCAAATAAATATATATATATATATAAAGTACTTGTTAGCAGGGAAGTTGCAACAGCTAATAGAATAAACATTGCTTTTATCATAAAATATAAGGAAAGAAAAACTTATAGTACTTAATATGGAGTTATGGACATACGTAGGATGAGAAAAGAAAATGGAAATGGCTACATGCACTATTTTTTCTTACTAACACTGATGTGTCAAGCTGTGAGTACATCTAGATTTCTTGTAATTCCCATCTAGTTAAATCAAATGGTTGACATCATTGTTTGTAAGAGTTCTGTAAGAATTTTTAATTACGTGTAGCAGTAAATCAAAGCAAGATTGGATTTGGTTTTAACTAACTGCCACTAAACTAACTGTCAACTGGCCATCCATCTATCTATCTATATTGTATATTAACCAAACATGAAGGTGCTAAATTATGGATTGCCCCACAAAAATTGGCAGCATTAGAAAAGATCAAAATGTTTAAAACGTCCAAATGGTTCCTTCTGTGTAACTGTTTATATCTTATCAGTTACACCAAAAAATATGCAAGTAAGCTCATGATAACTAAATGTTCAGAGTTGTGGCTAAAGCAAAATACTCTATCGGCACTTTTCATGATAACTAAAAGCTCATTGCAAAGTAATGCAGTGAAATGACAAAAAAAACAGAGAGCTAAAAATATGTCTAAGGCAGTGATGACAGTTTAAGAGAATTAAGCATTCGTTTCACACCTATGTTTTCTGGACAAGCAGCAACTGCAAACAAATAAATGTATATAAATGGTGAAAAGTCTTATCACAACTCAGAACTTCCATGTTAATCGGAAAAACAACCCTGGACTTCAGGTCTGTACTATAAATGAGTTTTTCTTTTTTGAAATTTTCTGAAGCTCTTTACTAATTTTAAAATTACAAAATCATTTAGCATTGGGATACATTTCCACATTAGCTCCATGCACCCAAAACTACTCCAAATCTGGTCCAAGGTTGAAATGTGAATGGTTATGACACTTCAGTGTTGATTATTGTCCAGATCTGAAGTTCAGGGTTGTTTCTGGACTATAATGGAAGTTTGGAGTTGTAAAATAGAAAATTTTCATTACAAATGTCTTCTACAAACTATTTAAGATCATGAACGATGCAGGGAATCATAGAATTAGCAGACTACGGGGGTAATGTACATACGAGGTGTTTCCTCAGACACAACGATGGCCATGGGACCATTAAGGCCTTGACAGCCAGCCAAATCTGATGGGTTTGTATCATAGAATGACCACCAAGGAGGAGTGCCATTATTCAAGAGCAGTTCGCCACTTACTGAATCTATCTGCACTTATAAACAGATAAAATTAAACTAGTGTCTGCTCAGCAAATCCAATGGGAAAAAAAGAGGCTATAAACATATCGCGTACCGATGCTTCTAATCGTCGCACTTCACCTGATCCAGTAACCCGAAAGTATCTAGGGTAAGCATCAGTTATCCTGAAGCTATTTATAGTCCCGTTTAGCACTCGTTTAACATCATCTACACTTGGACTACGATCAACAGGTGACTCATATTTCACTAGTTCCTTCCCTTTTGGTCTAGCTCTGAGAAAATCCCAATTTAAAATAAGCTCCATGTTTCCAAAAATCATTTCTGTCTCCTCAAGGGATTGAATGAATCTGGTTTGCACTGGAGCTGGTATCAACCACATCGTCGATGCATCCGGTTGGCAACAAATAAGTTGAATGTCCTCAACATTATATCCTCCCAAATAATCTAGAGGGTCAACATCATCATAGGCCCTCATGTGTTTCCATGGTATCTTTTCACAGACGGTGGTTTTAAAAAAGGTTAACCTACCACCAAGAGCTTTTATATCAATCTTAACACTTACATCAATAATAGGGTTGGCAATATTTGTTGGGTTACCACTACTGTATATCTGAAATTGAAAAATAAATGGCTTTAGACCTTGCAAAAGCTAATAAAATGTGGGGCCTGCTAAAAAATATTGAAATGAGAAAGGCTAAATATGGAATAACATCATTAATGCCATGATGTCCCATAAAGGTCCATGGTTGCACAGTGGATGCATGTTAGGTTTTATGTAAGCAGAAAAAGGCATGCCATTCACATTTTGCTATGGAAAATGTTTCTGTTAATATAATTTCGTAATTGGTAACTAAAGCAGAAAAAAGAGGATGAATGGGAACTTGCTTGAATGGTAGGGTCCTTATGAGAAAGATATGTGACAAACCAAACTAAATTATTTGGTCCGTATACGGTAGACCATGACACACCAATCTAAAATCTAGACAGTGACACATGCAGTCATAATTCAGTAGCTGCAGCCTGCAGGTATTCCCCCGTGAATCATGGCATCATGCAAAAATGAAATATGGCAGTAAGAAGAAAAGTTAGCTTCCTTTCTAGAAATATATAGTGGTAACAACTAACTGGAAACAGAAGAAAGCGCAGCAGCTTCACATGCATGCTAATTAAAGATTAGACTCCCACAGGTGGATAAACACATAACCTACCAAAAGATGCTGACAATGCAGAAGTAAATGTGGTTTTGTGTGACCCAAGTAAATGTTCTTAGATAGGTCGCTAGCTCCGCAAGGATAAGGTCGGTTTCAGGTTCTTGAGTTTGTAAAGGCCTAGGCCTGTGGGGTCTTGGTGAGGGGAGGGGGCTCCCCTCCCAGTTCCCCCGATTTCTCTTCTTCTTAATGAAATGATATGCAACTCTCTTGCATATTCAAGAAAAAAAAATTACCAGAATAGTTGCAGATGCAAACAAGTGGGATGGCAGAACAAAAATTAGTGCAAATATAAAACATAGATGGCATTCACCTACCAACATAGGTGCCCAAATAACACAGATAAGTACAAAGAATAGGCATATCCCGCTGCAGAATTTTGTCATTTTCGTTTGCTTCTCCCCTTGTTGGTGATTTGCCCTGTTTAAAATTGCATCGCATTTCACAAGGAACAAGCTTGCATATATATCCTCCAACTGAGAAGGGGAAAAAACATAAGCTATGAAAATTTGCCTTACCGAAGCAAACAAACAATTAGTGTAAAAAAATACATAGTAACAACAAGAAATATAAATGTAAATAATTTCATGAAACAACCAACTGAAAGAAGTAGAGATGCACTATGAGTTTGGCTTTTTTTTTTCTTTTGCAAGGATGCGATGCACAAATAATATCAACTTTTCGTATTTGACAAGTTTTTCAAAAGAATAGTGAGTTGATAGGTTTATTTCACTAAGAGGAATAATTACTATTGGACACCCGACATAGATTTGGGTTATGGGAATATTAGCTAACATGTATGAAAGAATGCACATACAACTTAAGAAGTCTACATACAGAACTAGGTACTAATAATGGATGTGGACAAACTAAAGGAGCAATGCTTTAAAAATGAAGTGATATTTAAAAAAAAGCTAATATATATGCTACAGACCTGATAAATGTCTACTACTCCCTCCGTCCCATAATATAAGGGATTTTGGGTGGATATGACACATCATGGTACTACGAATCTGGACATAGAGTATGCCAAGATTCATAGTATTAGGATGTGTCACATCCACCTAAAATCTCTTATATTATGGAATGGAGGTAGTATATAAAAGAAGCTAATGGTGGTGATGAATCTGCCACTCGACGTATTCAATCTTCTACTAGCACCAAATCAAAATTCACTAGCTGTGATTCACTCACAGACTCACAGTATACAATGGATTCAGGCCTTCAGCTTAAATTTCAACGTGCAGACCTATATGGTAATATGGCAAAATATTTTGAAACAACCATGATAGTTTGGGGAAGATCAAGTATAGATGTACCTTAAGCCAATCATACATTGTTAATGATGTAGTTGTACATGACCAATCAAGCACACACCGCAGCTCATACAAGAAGGGCAGAGCACGGTAAAGCCGGAAACCAAAATAATTTACTTGTGTAACTTTGCTTGTCAAAAACTGTCGATACAAGTTACTCTTGTTGGGAATACCATATCTAATCTGTAAAGCTTGAAGTGCCAAGGAAATCGACTTTGTAAGATAGATTGCACGTAGAACAAATCCTCCAACATTTCTGTGCACTAGCTCCATTCCCCAAGCATATTCAGTGACAGAGTATGTGAAAAGCACTAGGTTGAAAAGATAGAAAATGACTTTTCCTGTGGCAAATGACCACAGATATATGATGCGATCAACCACAATCAAGAAAAAGAGAATCTGCAGAATAATTGGTAGAATAATCACCAATAGTTCCAATAACTTATACATAGCATATATTAGAAAAACAAATAATTAGCATGTAAGTGAAACATAACAAATCCAATGGAATAGGGAGCTCACCATTAGGATGAAAACAAACTCTTTGGGAAACTGATCCTCCAGCTGGTAAACTTCCAGAAATTCACTTTTGTTTTTAAGAACAGATTGATAGAACATGGCAACAAGAAAGAATACTGCCAAATCAGCACCAAAATAATATGCATAAAGATCAATTTCCCTTTTACCACCGCCAATCACAGAGACTACTGGGTAAGGAAAATTTACATCTTCAAAAAGTCCTGCCTTTTGTGATTCATGAATCTCCTTCTCTACATCAGCAGCTGGAGTGAGTGATTTGTACCATCCTGCTGATTGGCAGTCCAAGGGAGCAGCATAGACAACTTCTAGGACAGCAAGAGCCATACTAGAGTTTTCTTTGCTTCGCTCAATACTTTGAATCCGAACCCGACTACAAGAATGGCAAGATGAAGGCGAGTTGGCTTGACATCTTTCTTCATGAGCTATAGCAAGGACCCTGTTTATTGCTGACTCTATTCTTTCTGGTTGAATTCCATCTTCTGGCCAATGGTTTACTTCCATTGTAACTTGCACAAAATATGGAGGAGATTCTGCCCCTTGTGTTAGTGACAACCAATATCTAGATATGCCTCTCCCAATCATCCTTATAAGATTCATTACAGGCAAGTGAATATTTTTTAGCCTATCTCTCCAATTGTAAGGCATACGTTGTTTCTCTTCTACATTATTTCTTGCACTTAGAAAGCTGAACTCTGTTACAGGAACCCATTCACCATCTTTAGCCGTTATGGAACTCTGCAAGAGGGTAGATATATACACCAGAAAGAGAGGCAATATGCTGACAACAAATGATGCCTTTATTTTATCATCCGGAAAACCTAATCTCTGGAGAAGAGGTATATGTATGTTCAAACCACAGTGCTGAATGACAATCTGGTATATATATTGTGAGAGAATGTTCAGCTCAGTGTAGATCAGAACAATGACCCAAAACAGGTAACTTGGCCCATAGTTCACACAAAGAGCATACAAGAAAAGTGCTCCAAGGTAAACCATGGATAGCAAGCTAAAATTCCACAAGAAAACCAGAACGAAACAGCAATAGCAAACATAATCATAATTACTTCGCATCTGATACCATATATACCGAAAGATTACACCTATCGGCATGTTTGCAGACGATTTTGTGCCATTTCCAGAGGTAACTGAATGTGTTCTTAACAACTGGCCATCATGTGTTTCCCTCTGACTTTCTACCATATCATAAATGTCATCTTCTGCAGGATGATCACTGGAATGTGGTTCTTCTGGATCAATGTTCAAGAAGCTCACAATATTTGTAACTGCCTGGTTTCCAAAGGACTGAACTTGGGAGACACCATCACCAATTAATTGCACAGCAGATTTTAGTGGGTTTTCCTTAACTGCCCCTCTTCCATACTGCAGTTTTAGTAAATTATGATTCACTTTGCCCTCATTTTCTTCGACCTCAGTGATCTCGGATGTTGAACCCAGTGAGTTCCTAGCATTATCAGTCACCTTAAATTCTTCACTTGTCCCCCTGATTGGTGACCTAGGAGTATCACATGGAGTCCGGAACATTAAATCTGTCAAGCTCTTCTGTGCATCTTCTACAGAAAATTCAAAGGATTGGGATGAGTCTGTGCTACCAGTCTTATCCTCCTTTCTTGGTGATCCAATCCCACTATCTTGCAACGGGGTGTCAATATCAGTATACAACTTAGTATTCCTCCTGTGACGTAAGCCTTCACTGTGAGATGCATTGTTGATTGGGGTGAAGGAATTCATTCGATTAAGCTGACTTTGTAAATTGTACATCTCAGATTTCATCCTTTCCACTTGCATGTTCCGCTCACGTTTTTGCTCCTCGGACCTTCGAAGATGTTGGAGCTGTTCAGTTTTCTTCAAAGCTTTTTTCTCCTGCTCATGGACCATCGCACCAATTTGTTCAGCCTCAAGGTATCTTGATACATAATCAAATTCACCAGAACTAAAGATGTATGATTGAATTGACACCAATAAGAAGATCACTATCTCAACAAAAGCTGATCGTGATGTTATCTTAAAACCATAATCATACTTGTAAAATCCAATAATTTCATAAATATAGTCAATTTGGTCACACTTGCCAGAGCTAAATTGCCCAAAATAAGGAGATTGATAAGCAAGTGATAAAACAATAAGCGCAAAATTATACATCCGCAGATACTTGAATATTTTATTTTTTCTCTTCAATATTTCAAGCCTCATTCTGAAGAAAACCAAAGCAAATCCAAGATAACCAAGGTGCAGCACATCATACTCCAGCGTACCAGTAATAGCAATTAATGCTAAAACTATGTCCAATAAATGGCAATAAGCATAAAGCCGTATATAATCAAGAAAAGTCCAGAAACTTTTTGTTTCCAATGAGAGGTCCCTCCAAACTAATGCATTTTTCCTTTGTGACATCATCTGATGATAAGTATCTGAGTCTGAGAAACCAGAGAAACGATCGGACCGTAACTTAAAAGAGGAAAAAATGAAGACAATATAGTAGCTAATGAGCATTCGAGGATCGTCAGCTATTAACCCTGCATCATATAATACACATGATAGTGTTATTGATAAGCACAATAATAATATACATGTTAGATTGGCATAAATTTCAGCTATTAAACAAGGACATACCCAGCCAACATTTTGAGCAATATGCAAAGAAAATCCTTGAATTTTTCCAGCATTCGCGACAATGAACTTCAATGTCATTGATACTGTGTAACCAGGGCATTCCTTCCTTCCAAAGAGCAAAGTACTCGAGTAGTAGGACCGAAGCAAAGAGAACAACAAAAAGAGGCCACAGTTTCTGGATAAGATCTCTGTTCATAAGAATACATACAACGAGGCATGTGATGTAAAAAATTGATATAACATTCAACAATGTAAAGCTGGCCAATAGTAACACGATCATGTTAATTTCAAGACCTCGCAATTTAAAGAGATTTTCCATCCAGAATTTCATGTAGCATTTAAAGGTTGTCTTCTGAGTTTCAAATCTTTCTCTTCTCAAGGAAATAATCTTTCTCTTATCCCACTTGTGGCTTTCTTTTGACATTCCCCAAATCTTTGAAAATGAGTATCTTTTGCCCTCATCTGAGCCGCTTGTCTCATTCTGGACAGGTTCTGATGTCTGACAAGTGCTCCCTGAACTCAGAGATGAACTTGAGCTGCTACCAATCAGACCTTGAACTTTTGAAAACAATGAACTAAACCTATTTGATGAATGACTATCCTTGTTATTGTCCCTAGCGTTAGAAGATGTATCACCAGAGATAAAGAGCTGGCAAGGTTCTTCCCATTTGCCCTCATGTAAAAGAGATGTTGGCATCAAATCCAACCAATGGAAAACATTATACTGAATGGTGCAAGCCACGATTACCAAAACTTTTCCTCGAAGACCATATTCGACACCCCAAAATCCAGCATCATAATGCTTCAAACCAAGAAAGACAGACAAGCCATGGAACTGCTGACCAGGACACATTTGAGCAGGTTCACATAACATTTGAAATAGGTATTCTGATGTAGCAAGTAAACCAGTGTAAACAAGGTAAACCTTGGAAGGAATTCGAGAAACTTTAGGTAAAATGGAAAACATAATGAGACCTAAAAGATAAATTAGGCCAGATAAACTGATTGATGATAGGCAAGCATAGAACACAGTAACTGATAATATCTTCTCACTATGCCAAATTAACAATCTCCTTAGGAACCCCAGAAGCCCAGATTCAGAAGCATCAGATACACCAAAGTTCTTGTCACTATTCTGCCGTCTTTCATAGCTATAAAGTTGCATTACTACTAGAACAGCCAATGATTGCCAAACATTCATCAACAGCGAGGCCTCGGGATCAAATCCCAGATCAGGATATAGTTTAACAAATTTTGAGACTAACCCTGCAAAAAGGGGTGACACACTAAGGCAGTATGTAAAGATGAAAACCAAAGTGGCATATACTTTTAGTGGAAACCAAAGCCGTCTCTTTGTCTTCTCGACAAGTTGCCTTCCAATTATCCAAACCAGAAGGAAAAAAAGGTAACCAAAGGATATATAATTAGGAGTCACCAAGTAGAGAGTCAAAAGAATTGTGAGGAAAGCCACATAGGTTCCATACGAGCGATACACCCAAAGAAACTTTTGGCCAATTTTACTGAGATATGATGCTATCTTTTTCTCTGCAAAACAGCACAAAAATGGAAATGGCATGCCATAAAAACATAGACTCAATTAATAGTACATGTTACTCCATTACTTGTCAGTTTGGATATCAACAATATCATATGCAACTTTGAGCACTAATTCCTAAACATAATAAAATATAAAATTACAATATCAATAAAGAATTCCATCTATCCAATCTAAGTATTTAAAGAGATAATTAGAGTTCATGTTATTTGTGAATTCAGTATCATCTATCCAATCTAATAAAATTACAATATCAATAAACAACTGAAGAATGATATTTGTGAATTACATCTAGGTGGATTAAACTTGTTCATGTTCTAGAATTTATACACAAATATCCTGCCAATTTTTTATTTAAAAAAAAAGAAAAGTGTGATGGCGGAAACATACCATGTGTACTTCGATCAGCTTGACCATTTCGCGAATTTTGCGAGTTATACACTGACAGCAGAACTGACTTGTTCAGACCAGCCTTTAAGATAGTGAACCCAACAGGAGTAGAAGGTGTATGCCGAAGAACCGCGGAGAGTGCAAAAAGCATTTTAAAACCATGACTATGGACAGCACAAAAGCACACAATTGAACCAATTTTCATGAAATCCTTTGTTGTAGATTTATTTGAAAGACCTGTCGGATGTATCAGAGAACCAATTTTCTTTACAAATGGTATGACAAACATGGATGGTGCATAGGTGCTTTAGTTTAACCACAAAATAGTAGAACACCCACAAATAGGTGCTTAGTTAATGTGTACGCCCACAACAGGAAATAATAAACAGGACAAACAATATAGTAGAAATTAATTAAGAAAAAATGGAAAGCCCAGGGATGCTTTAGTTCAACTAAATGAACTAGGATCACTCCACGCCCTAGCAATGCCTATTACACCGAAATAAACCTAAATAACAACAGTAGTTCAATAAGTGAGTGCATCTGTTATTTAAGATAACATGCCACAGCTTACTTGTACTAATTTTCAAATGAATTCTATTCAATCTGCACATATGTTATCCACTGACACCCGTTTGTGCTGCTCACAGTATACCAACTCTACGGAGTAATTGTGGGTAACTGGGGGTTCTGGCCCTGGGCCTTGATAGCCAAGGTACCATGGTGAAATGGAAGCAGAAGTATGGACAGGAGGGGCATGTAGGGAGGAGGATGAGAGAAAGGATAGACTAGGGATAACTCTTGTTTGATTCATTCAATCCATTGGCAGCCCTTATATAGAGCGCTCCACAAGACAATAGAATCTAAATAATACTCCCTCCGTTCCATAATATAATGCACAACTACTTTTTTTTAGATGTTCCATAATATATAGCATGCATGCATGCATGCAATTAACTAGGACCTCTTTTCCATTAAATTATTACTTTTTTAAATACTCCACCCTCAAGATCTCTAATTCTATTGGACGCATGCATTATATTTATTAGGGTGATCTAAACTAGGAGATGATAATAATTGTTTCTTGGTCTTCGGGTTAAGGTGGTTGTGTCTTATATTTTGGAATGGAGGGAGTACTAAACTAGAGATAACAACTCAATCATACCTAACTATAACCCCAGCTGTTTCTAGCCTAATGCACTTGGCGCCTAAGGTAGGGAATGCTGCATATGACAATTATCAATATAGATCTTGTGCAATATAAACTGCATCCCTTGATCATATGTAACAGGCAAAAATGTTGTCTCTCCAAATAAGCATAGATGGGATCTTTGATTCTTAGGTGATGAATCAGTACAGAAAATACATGATTACAGAAAATAAGAGTGCGCACCTAACTGTGAGAGTACCTCCATTGTTAGGGAACCACTACGCTCCAAAGCACTGGAAACTAAATCAAGCTGAAGAATGTACAGTATTGAAAAATGCGCCTCACAGAATAGCACTAAGATCTGGCGCAGTCCCTTTTTGATTGAATGATTCAACAGAAACACCAGAAAAAAACACACTGAAACAAAAAAGTAACTCTAATTAGCTGCATTATTTAGATTGAGGAAATTAGTAAGGAAAAAGGTAAAAGATTACGGGCCGTTTTAGATTGATACTAAAAACTGCCCTACCAATTCTTTGGCAACTTGAATAGTACTTGTGAATGTTTGAATTGATATCAAATCATTGGTACCAATCTAGAACTTTCTTCATCATATTAAAATTGACTTCACACTTTTAGCAAACCAAAGAATTGGTAGTACTGAAACTTGTCTAGATTTTGGCACTACAAAAGAATTGGTAGGGTAAAGACTAGAGAACCAACCCTACCCTTCATGCACATGCTTAAAATATATCAGCAATATAAACAAAGCAACTACCAAGATAAATACTTGCTCTAGACAGAAAATAAATACGTAATAATACATTGCATAATGATAGAGCATAGCCTACAATTTTCAAGTATCAATAAATGATGGGGACAATCGAAAATAAACCCTAAGTGCATCTAATAAGGATTGGTTACAGGAACATGAACATAATGCACATGCTTGTCACAATTCGTAACAGAGTATGAGCTGTTCATGTATTATTAATTCGAGCAATCCATATATAAAGTATTAAATAAGGTAACTTATCAACAAAGTACACTATTCATTGGGTCAACTATTTCCCCCAATATAGGACAACACATAACAATAGCCACCATCAAAAAACAAATAAAGCTGAGAGGAATGTTTCACCATACTGTAAACAGCATGAATAAAGCCAGGTTTCACCACAAGAAGAAACAGTAGCATCAAAGTGATTGCACGTGAAAGCTTGCGTAGACCCCATGCTAGAGTTGCTACAATCAAAACCATTGTATCTTCCTTCTCTGTAAAGAAGAGGCCACAATGCAATTAGGATGTTAAGTCGATGATACCATACGATAACGAAATATTTTCAGTATCAAGAGCTACCAATACTTGCCTACAACAGTTATACTGGGCAATTGTATACCTGATTTATATCAGAGGCAGTTTCATAATTTGAAAATTCCAGCCCAACGTGTTATTCAAGTTTATGGCATTGGAAATAAATAAAGCAGGTAGCTGATGTGATTCAAAAAATCAGCATTCCATGGTCAAAGGAAGGATTCAAATATGATTCAGCTCCATCTCAAGGAGATTCAGCGCATGTCCAAGTACGAAAAATAAATAGAGTCTGGAACTAAAATAAATGAACAACAAAATCTATAGAACGTAAAGATATTGGCTTATAGTTAATGTTGCTATAGTTAGATACATAATGCATATCCAAATCATGCATCGATTTATGATTCAAACATAGCATTATTTTACACAACTTCACAACGAGAAGTTATGAAAATGATAATTCAAAATGCATATCAATGATGTACTTACCATCAATGAGGTGGTCATCACTCGATGACGCTCCCCCCTCAGTAGTTGTGTAAACAAAAACAGAATTGTTTACAAGATTACACAGTGCTACAAAGACGCCAAGGCAGAACTGAGCAAGAAGAAATAATCCAGGAATAGAATAGTGCCAAAGCCCAATGGTTTCCCAAATCATCATATCCTGCAATATTTATCTAATAAATCTTTATAAATTTTGATACTTATAATAATTTCCAATGGACTTAGGTAGCTAAGTATGATACCTTTTGAAATCTTTTATTGAAGAATGTAAATGCCACATTGAAGATATATGTGCTGGCTGCCCATAGAAGAATGAAAACTAGGAGTGACCCATTCAACCGATGCATTTCAAATAACGAAGGAAAAGCATATAAAATGTATCCAACATAAGCTAGAAGACCAAAAGCACAGATGCTAGTAAAATTGAAGCTCCAAAGGGAAAGCGCAAGCAGCAAAACCTGAAATAGTTAGCAAAAACTTTTCTTATTAGATGAGAAAAAGGCATATATTTTTTTTACTTTAAACAATAGGCTGTTAACTTTCTTTTCACTATGGCTGTGTTCGTTTCTTCGACAAGACATGGATAAAATTTTGAATACTTGTGGCACGCTTTTCAAACTACTAAATGGTACGTTTCGTGCGAAAACTTTCTATATGAAAGTTGCTCTAAAATATCAGATTAATCCATTTTTCAAGTTTGTAATAATTAAAACTCAATTAATCGCACGTTATTACCACCTTGTTTTGCGTGAAACACTTAATCTTTATCTTCATCTTCATCTTCAGGAGATTCAAACACCACCTATGTTTGGCACTGCAGTGGATTCTGATAATCACATTTGATCCAACAGCTTTTACACATTTTGGTGTTTGGTGAAGTGATTTTCTTTTAATCTATGTTGCAGAACATAATACCATTATGCTCTGAAAATATAAAACAATCTATCAAATGGATAACTTAAAATACGCACAGCACCACACAGCAATCATAAACTGAGCCTTTGTCTCAATCATGACAGCATAACCGGTTGTCTCTGTATACTTCACGAGAATCTCATCATATATTGCTCAGAAAATGTCATTCTGTAACACCAAAATTTGTAATATACTAATAGAACCTAGCGCACTTCAGTACTAATAAAAAACTTTTAAGTTTTGTACCACTCTGTGATCCATTAGCCCTTTTTGCATCTTTTTCTGCAATGAAAAATATGATGACATCACCAAATCCCCTGCCTCTTGGAGGGCATTCTTCAAGAATGACCTCTCTCTCCTTTATACTGTTTAAATTTAGATGACAGATCTCTTCTATCCTCTTGGTTAAACCTGTTGTAAGTTTTCTTTGTATTTACCTTCTTTTAATATAATTATTTACTGTGGGGGCTTCCCCTACAGTGCTTTCTTTAAAAAAAATTCCATGGCTTAATGACAGAGGCAGACAATCCTTCCTAATTTGACAATATCATCTTCCTTCGCCTGTCATCAGGCTAGACACACCCACACCTACAACTGTGAGTTCTTCCCCAGCTTGTGCACGTGTTAGTTTAGTTCGAATGACTTCGGTGTCATGATTCCATCTTCTGCATCTCAATCTGCAATGTAAGTAAAGAAAGGAGTTCACCTTTTTTATGTGATATTTGCTAGGTCTCTTACAAGCTAGTTCTAATGAACTTCAGTGTCTTCCCTTCTTTACGTCATTCAACGAATAGTGCCCACAAGTAGGGGAATTCCCCTGTAGTCAAATGCCATGACAAAGCCAGCAATGGCTCCAAGATGCATCTACTAAGGGTGTGTTCGGCACCCCCTTTTCCCAACCCCTCTCTCGTTTTCCAGCGCGCACGCTTTTCAAACTGCTAAACGGTGCGTTTTTTGCAAAAAGTTTCTATACGAAAGTTGCTTAAAATAATCACATTAATCCATTTTTGAAAAAAAAATTAGCTAATACTTAATTAATCACGCGCTAATGGACCGCTCCGTTTTCCGTGCAGGGGAAATGAGTTCCCATCTGGTAGATGGGAACACAGCCTAAGGCCGCGGCTGTGTTCCGCACGGAAAACGGAGCGATAGATTAGCACATGATTAAATAAGTATTAGCTACAAAAAACTGGAAAAATGGATTAATATGATTTTTTAAAGCAACTTTCCAATATAATTTTTTTGCAAAACGTGTACCGTTTAGCAGTTTGAAAAGCGGGCACGCGCAAACCGAGGGAGATGGGTTGGGAACCCATGGGAAAGAACACAGCCTAAATATCTAGCCCATCCCTTTCCCAAGTGACATAGTAGATGAAACAAAGTTGCAATCAGTTGCACTAGTAACAAAGCTTAAGATAGAAGGCTATGGCACACAAATGAGAAGGCTCTATCATTGCCAAAAGGCAGCTTTTTGACCACTCCAAATACTGAAATGATCTTGCCCCTACTCACTGAATTGGCTGCCGCCACCATTCGAAAAAGGAAATAGGCTCGAGGGGCAATAATGTTGAAGTTGATGTGGGGAAAAACAATAACATGGATAGGGTCAGCAAAAAGGTTCTTGGAGTGGTGCAGAACAATTTTTTTATTGCATATTTAGTTTGTACTGGAAGTAGAACATAGTAATAAATTGTAAATGATTGTTTGTCTACCTTTTAAGTGAGATCAGTTATACTATGAACTTGGGCAATAATAACATTGTTCCATGACTAGCCCACGGTTCCTTACATGCCAGATGAATATTCATCATGGAATGGCTAGCTTTGCCTGCCTGACCTAGTTCAGTTCCCTATCAGTCAGTATAAAATTTCCAGTTCTTATAATTCTTCCTGTTTATGCGTACAATTTTTTTTCTTAACTTCATTGTATAAGATATTAAGACGTGCGGCTGACATGCTCCTACTTCATTCCTAGCTGTGTCCCATCGACACTGCACCAGCAATCAAGACCATTTGACTCCTGAACATCACTGACTAAAGAACACAGGTAATAAGAACAATAAGGAGCAGTAAGACCTCCAAGCATAATAAGAATATGGACTGCAAGAATAGTTTAGTCCTAAAAAGAAAGCGGTAAGGGTTGAGAAGAAAAGTGCAAGGAGAAAAATACCGGGAAGCCATAAGTGAAGAAGTTAATACTGAAAGTCCTGAAAACTGATCCTCTCAGCAATACATTGGCATGCCTTCTGCCTGATCTGAATTAGAGAAAATTATTTAGCAAGAAGCACACCAGATACAAAGAAATTATATTTAACCACACTTACACCACACCTACATAAACATATTGAAAGCCCATAAATACATTTTGCAAATCTATACCCTCTATATAGCTGTAACCCATTAAGCCTAAAATTCAACATGCAAACATGCCACCTCATCATCTACAAGCAATAATTACATACAAAGCTCATGCAAGCATGCAACATCATCTACAATTCATTGAATTCTACAAATCAACATGTAAGCATATCCAATCATCACCCTTTACATTATTTCCACAATATTTTTTCAACATACATATCCATCATTTTTATAATACTTTAACATATCCATCCATATAATCAAAGTGTGGGATATCATATTACATCTACAGTCTCCTACAGAGTCTACTAAATTTATTTCTCAACATAGTTTGGCAAACTGGTTTTATTTATTGTTACTCCCTCCGTCCCAAAATATAAGCATTTTTGGACCCTGACACGGTATCAGAGATGCTACTTTGACCAACAATATCTATAAAAGTAAGATGTTTTAAATAAAAAGAGTTGCATATTATGATAGTTGTTTAATGATAAATCTAGTAACATCAATTTTACATGATTAATATTTTTTATTTTTTTGCTATTAATAGTCAAAGTTGAAAATGTTTGACTTGTCACTATGCTAAAAATGCTTATATTTTGGGACGGAGGGAGTAATAACTAATATCCTTTTTAATCTTAGCTTGATTATGAAAAATACATATTAAAAATTACTTAGTAATTACTCCCTCTGTCGCAAATGTAAGCATTTCTGGAGTGGTGGAATTAAATGGGGAAGGTCGTGATTAGTTGAGAAGAGGAAGTAGGTGGAGAAATTTAATGGGGGATGGTTGAGATAGGGGGTAGGTGGAGAAAGCGCTACATTTTGGGACAAAATTTAAACACTAGAAATAGCTGTTTTTTTTGGGGGGGGGTATATAATAATTAACGTTTAAAATGAAGAAAAAACAATCACTATACCGAAGAAACATGAGGGAATTATGTCGAACCTAGTTGACAACATTATTACTATCAAATAAGAAAGGCTGTAAATTGAAAAGTACTGTTCAGCTTCAAATAGGAAATATCTCGACTCCGAACTAATGATTTTATTAAAATGCTATTGCTGGTACATTACCATCTTAAGTGAACAATGTTCACCAAGTGCACCATTCACAGGTATCAAAACCACTAATGTTTCATAAAAACTATTGTTATAGCACCTAAATTAAGAAACATGGACTTCTACATGGAGGAACCAAAGAGGGCCTAGAAACACCGGGACCTTGGGAGGTGTGCTACAAGAATTCCAGAATCAATATATTTGCACTAGTGTGCCTACTTCACTTCATAGCAAGGAGTTCAAATGCAGTATGGAATAAACAAATTATTTGCATACCGAGATTGGCGAACCAAAAAAACATTTCTGGAAGGAAGAAGCTCCTCCGCTAAGCTGTCATTTTCTAGAGACATAAGAGAATCCATATCCTGTATGTCTTGTTTGGCTGATGACAACTACGATAGTAGAAAAGGAACAATCATTAGAAATAAAATATTCTGTCTACTCAAAAAGCTAAAAACTAGATAAAGTGATTGAGTTTCACTGTTATCGCCTGTTAGCTGGAACTAACAGAATACTATTCTGTGCTCTACTTGTAATTATGTACATTGCATCACATGTTACTTCACTTTAGTTACTCATTTTGAGTTTTCAACAATATTAAATATAATATAATAATCCATAACCATCCAAACACACAAGCACCACCATTATTAATTGAGGGAACTCTGAATGGCATATCTAAAGTAGATCTGAGCATTATATTCAAACAATATATTAATACCGGCAATCTGCACAGTTGATTTCAAGATCATACATTACATTCATATCAGCACAACCTTCTGTATTCCATCACTGCAAATTTTTCTTATCTTTTCTTTATATAAAAGACATCATTGGCAAATGATCATTGCCCATTGTTGCATTAAGTTCGACCTTGTATGTAAATCACTAGGTTCACTTCAGGGTTACCTATTACTCCTTAAATTTCAAAATGACTGTCCATTTTTCTTCTAGATGCCATTTTAACAATTTAATTTGAAACAATTACATGGTGAACAAAATTTAGTTCATGAAAAGGCAATTGAGTAGTCGTAATATGTCACTCGATAGGAAGTATGGTCATGTTCCTTTAAATCTCTAACAATAACATTTCTTATTTACATTATATAAATTGGTATGTTTGTGTGGATGAAGAACACATAACTGCATAAGTGCATGGAAAGAACCATTTTAAATCAAATATTCAAATGTACACATTCTTCTGCATGATGTTCCAAGTTAATGAGTTAATGGAAAAGAAAGGCATTTGAGAAGAAAGATTATTTAACGAGTAAATTTCAGAAAACTGCAATTATTTGGTCAAAATAATCACTTTGCTACAACTTTAACTAGGTATTCATAAAACTGCAACAATAGCAAACAATTTTATCAGAAAACTGCAACTTTGTTAGGCATATAAAGTTCCCTGAAATGTTTATCTAAAGGTGCATCAAACTGATAGTTTTGACAAAACAGTTGTAGCTTTCTGAAATTTACTCTAATTTAACAAGTTGTGTTGGAGCATATCTAAATATGTGCAGGTAAACTGTTTAAAACTTTGTGCAATAAATTACTAAAGATCAATTTTCCGGAACTCTCTACAGTCATAAAAAAAAATTCAAAGGTTATTTCTGGTATTGTGATAACTATTTATTCTGCAATGTTCCTCTGACATTAACAAATAGCATAGCTGCATGAGGATTACTAAGCAAACAACATGATTCACATTCTGCATGCTAAAAAATGATTAGTTTCTTACCATGAAGTAATAAAAAAGAAGAGAAATACCAGAAGACACCTCAGGCCATTCTGAGTTCGACGAAATTTTGAATAGGCCAATGAAGTCAGCAAATGCTAGAACGACATATGGAAACTTCACAGGTAGTTGGTAGACATAAAGCAGAAGAATGATGAAAACCGAATATATCTCAAGTAATCTCCACCATCTTCGGAAGATAACATATACAATTTCACAAATATTACCAAATGCACATTGCTAACATAATAAACAATTGTTCAACTTAGAAGAAAGGGTAACAAGGATCTTACCGGAAAAGACCAAGGAAGTTGCTAGTTAATGACCAATCCACAACACCAATGCAGCTAAATACAAAGAATGGTAGAGAAATCCAAGAAGGATGACTAATACTAACAACTAATTGAACAGCAGGCAGTAAGAAACAGCATGCAACCCGCAGATGATAACCTGGACAGTGCAGACAGCAAAGTTATAATCATTAGACAGTGCATAGTAACATGTTCCAAAAAAAAATGTTTCACATTTCTCCAGTGCAAACATATAATAGAACAAGAATCTTAGATCTACAGGTATATTGCAATAGGAAGAACAAATTTAAGTACTGAGTCAACAAAACATCATTTCCCAGTGGTCAAGGGATAAACTAGAGTAAAATGCACCTGCGGTATCACAACTTGCGAGGTCGGTGCAGTTTAGTCACTCATCTTGCTTCGATGGTGCAAATCTTACCAAATACATTGTCACATGGACTGTTTGTTTTCAAATTAGAGGTCGTATTGACCTAACATCATGCATTTTTTAGCCATGTGGGCAGGGAAAGCATTAGAATTACAAATTAACACTCATATTTTTCATGCATATGCTACTACTCCTGATTTCAATGAACATGACCATATTGTGCTTGGCAATCAATAACAAAATTCATCTTTAATTAGAATTTACTACCAGTAGTATTGCATGTTGGCTTATTTATGGATCGTGTGACCATGTTTGTAAAACAAATTAACATAGCATATAACTTCATTGCGAATATCCCACACGACACATGTTTTATGTGATTTGCACCCCTAAAACAAGATGAGTGACTTGTTTGAGAATTTTACAAGATGGGTGACTAAATTGCACCCACCTCACAAGTTGCGGTACTAGCGGTGCATTTTACTCGATAAACTATATCCACAAGAACCAACAATAATGCCCAGTGATACAAACTAATTAATTACACAAAACAGTTCAAAATATTTTACTTCAGTCTGTTACTTATATACTTTAGTATTTTCTATAATCCAAAGTGATGCATGGTGCTCAACCCCAAAGGAGAAGTCGACGCAGCATGAATCTTGATGTTTATTTTTAATAGGGTCAATAATCCAAAATGATGCATGACGCACTGCATACTAACCTATTTGCTCAATCCCAAAGGAGAAATTGAGACAACAAGAATCTTGATAAAGCCTGCTTCCAAAGACTTCAACCAAAGCAAGGACAGCAGCAGATAGTTGTACAACTAGAAAATAGATAACAGATGGCGATTCCCCAGGCTGGCTCCTGTATTAACTGACATGGTTAGTTTTATAGGAGACATACCAATGGATAAGACCAAAGACATGAACATGCATACAAATGAAATCAACAAGACCAACAGCTATATATAAATTTAAATACCTCGCAAAACCAACCAACTTTGCCCACCAGGAATGGGCCACAACCCATCCCTCTCCCTCAATGCACCAGATTAGATGAAATGTAACTTGTGCTAAACTAGCAAGTACTGAGTAAACAATTGTACACCAAAATAGTAGGTACAGCCTCCAAGCGCGAAACCCTTCCAAATAGCATAAAAAAAATATAAGTCATTTATGATCTGTATAATGTATATGTAGATAGTAAATTGTAAAAAGTACATCAATTTCTCATGTAATGGTTGCAACAGGAATCATTTTGTAACTCAAGGCAAAAGTCATTAACAATAATTAATAGTGAACTTCTTTAAGGTTTTTAAAAAATTTCATACCAATAGCATTTCATTTAATATATACGCGTCTTTAATTCCTTATGAACAAATGACAATAAAAATGGTCCGACATCATGTGTTTTCTACTGCACAAGCTAAGTTGCATCAGGCATCAGACCTCCAATAGAAATGCAAAATTCGTATCATGTGACATAAACGCGGTGAGGAATACTCCAAACTTAGGATAATACAAATGCTACCATGATTTATAACTTTGCTTTACATATCAAGTGCATAAGGTTCAAGTAGTGTCCTTGAATAGCTTGTTTGATGGGGGTTATTGTACTTGGACAGAAAGCACGATATGCAGCAGGTCTCAGCTTAGCAATCAATCTGATTTCAGATTTAATTGGTGTAGTTGAGGTTGTCACTTGTTATTTGTGCTGCTGTAATGCTGAACTGGCCACGAAGAGGAAAAGGGGTGCGTGTGTGTGTGTGTAGACGGAAACAGAGATGCTCAACAAGAGAGGGATCATACGTGAGATCTCAAAGGGCAGTTCTCAAAAAAAAAAAAAGATATGGAAGGGCTATTCAAATTAAGTTGGGCCTTATAGGACAGAGTTAATAGAAAATTTTCATTGAAGCTACTTCAAAATGCATCCATAAAAAGAGCATAATCATACCTCTCCTTGGAGCTACAAACCGAATTGCAAAGAAAAATATCATATTGACCAGAGAAATTAAGCTCCAATCAAGTAAGGAAGCTGCAAAACAGTGGACCACAATGTTGGATTAGATCAAGAAAGGAGTCAAGAGAAATGTGTTAGCAAACTACTCAAATTTTAGAGATTTGAGCACAGGTTCAATCGCCCTAATGGCCAGCATGCAATTTCTCTTCACTTGTGCTTTATTGTGTTGAGTTATAGTCCCTCCAGAAATGAAAACATGTTTTGGACATACATTAAGTCAAACTTTCATAGTTTTAAGCAAAAAAAGAACGTATTCTTTTAGATAATTAGGTTGAATAATGAAAATCATGTGAGAATTTTCCCGTAAAGTACTTTCATAGCACAATATTTTATCAGGTTCTACAAATATATTACAATAGAAATTAGTGAGAAAATTGCATTTTTGGAGATGGTGTTGATATCCAAAGTGACATGTTTTTGTGACCTGAGGAGTAGCATCTAGTTAGTTACAGGAATCAAGATAATAAGGCAATTGTAAAAATTTTGGAATGAATTGACCATAGAATGGAACGTGTCTGTTTTAGCAGAAGGCTTAATCATGCAAAGGAATCAATCGGTTGTATATCACTGAATTAGTTATTGACTAAATTAACAACTGGAGTATAATTATTTAAATGTTTTACTAATAATAATATCCAATTAAACATAAGGATTCTAGGACTTAGCCATACAATTTCACTCCAATGTGATTTGAAGATTCAGCTGAAAACAGATTGAACCATCAAAACAGATTAGGACAACCCCCTCCCCCACTCTTACTAATACATTCGTCCAAAGTCCAAACAACTTGTCAGCACAGCCTGTCCAAACATAAACAACCCTCCTTGCATCCACTCAGTGAGGCCAGGACCAGCCATGACAGATCATAAAAGACTAAATGCGCTATGTATGAAATGAGAAGTTCAGGTGATGGCCAACCTCAACAATAGTAATGTTTTGCCCCGCTATCTATTACCTCAACAATGTTTTGCCCACCCACCTTACATTCAGATTTCCAAATAGGCATACAGCTAATGACATAAGTACATAAAACATTGGTTCATTACTGATAAAATATACAATTATACAGTATAGTCAATAAACTCAATCATGTAAACTGCACATTAATATTCGTATTTTGCAGACTAAATTTGGGTCAATAATCATTAGCATGTAATTTTGTGTGAGAGAAATGAAAAGGGAATAAGGATAGAAAGCTGTGCATTCAGCAGGTACATTGGTAGCAGCACTACATACCATTTTAGATAAAATATATCACAAAGGAAATTATCCACTATCCACAACATCCAAATCTTATAAGCAAATAGCAGCAATAACATCAGAAATCTCTAAGCAGCTCGTCTTATAAGCAAATCAACGGTTCAATGAACTTACTCTCTTAACAGAATTCTAGTTAGCTGTAATCAAGCTACCACCACCTTGGTGCAGAATCCTAACAGCAGGAACCTATTTTTATGGCAGAACCTAAACCCTAGCTTAGCCCCGAGCGCAACATAAAGAGGGAACACCCATGAATTTGGCAGCTAGAAGGACCGCGACGCACGCAATCAGCTATACAGAAGATTCGCATCGGATGGGATGGACGGACGAAGCGTACCTGCCAGGAGCACCAGCGGCAGAAGGCAGCGGCCGGCGCAGCCGCCCGTCCGCCACGCCATCGCGAGAAGGTGACGGCGGCGGCTCCTCCTCCCCACGCTTCGCTCCCGCTAGCCCGACTTTACCGCCATCTGCGGTGCGAGCCGAATCGAATCGGAATCGGGTCGCTCGCCTTCCGCCGGGTGGAAGAGGATTTGGGGGATTAGGGCAGGGCAGCGAGGAGATCTCACTGGTTGGGCTCTTCTCTTGCCGCTGTACTTTTTCTTTTTTATTTGGATGGCCTCTCACACACGAGCGTCGTCTCTGTCTGCCTTTCGGTTCCGACGTCTGTTCGCGACAAATCTGACGTTATGATGCCACCATGGTTAGGCTTGATTTTTCACCTTTTGGTCCTTTTAAAAAATTTATTCTACAAATGAACCCCTAAAATACTTATTAGCGAGAAATGGTCATTTCCGCGGCGTCACCATCATGGGTAGGGATGGCAGTTTTGCCCACGGGTCCAATGGGCATGGGCATGGATGTAATATTTTGTCCGTGGGCACACCCGCCCGAGACCCGAGAATGTAGCGGGCAATAATTGAGTAATACTTTTTCCCCGTAGATAACCCATACCCGACCCGATACCTATGTTTTAGCTAATTTTGGCCCACCTCTTAATTCCGATCCCTCTTTCTTTTGGCCCATTTGGCCCATCAACCAAGGGCATATATATACTCAACTGAAACCTTACTCTAATTCCCCACTCTCCTCTCTTACCTCAATCACGGCGGCGCGGGCAGGTGACGGCGGACGCGTGCCGGCGCGAGCAGGCGATGGCGACGGCAGCGCGGGCGGGTGACGGCGGCGGCAGGCGGCGACGCGGGCCAGCGCGAGCAGGCGATGGCGGCGGCAGCGTGGGCTGGCGGCAGCAGGCGGCGGCGTGAGCTGGCGCGAGCAGGCGACGGCGATAGAGCAGGCAGGCGGCAGCGCGAGCAGGCGGCGCGAGCGGCGGCAGGCGGCGACGCGGGCCGGCTCAAGCAGGCGACGGCGGCTACGCAGGCAGTCGATGGCGGCGACGCGGGCCGGCGTGGGTTGGTGAGGGCAGGTGACGGCAGTGGCAGCTCATGATGGCGACGGCGACGCCATGACCTGAGCCAGCCTCGCGGACACCGCCCGTGCTGCTGCCACCCGTATACGGAGCTCCCAGCGCAGAGGCAGTCCATGGGCGGCGCACGGGCACAGTGGGTACCCGTTGGGCATGCCCGTGCCCGACGGGCATGGGCATGGGCATTGGGTTTTACCCGATAGGCTTCGCAGGCGTGGGTTAGGCACGGGCACGTGGGTCTCAGGTCGGGCATGGATTCACTCGACCCACTGCCATCCCTAATCATTGACGCCTTGGTCCAATATGACGGTGCCAAAAACATTAGCGCCGCCCCCTTTCCAGTGAAAGCTAAGTCACTAATGTAAATGTAAAAGGGGGCAGGGTCGTCCCGTTAAATTCGGGGACCCTATATAAAGTCGTAAAGAAGGATAAAAACTTAATTGATGATACAGTATGACAAAAATTTAAATTCCTGTTGATGCGAAAAGTACACACTGGCCTGAGAGATCTGCTTAACTCCAGTGCAGGTCCTAAATCTTGTTCTTGGGTTCAAAGGCGTGCCAGTTGATTTGATCCTGCAATCAACAAGAAAGAAAGACAAGAAAACCGTGGTTAAATCCATAAACGATAGCCGATCGGCTAGGAGCCGATGACATCGTCAATCATTAAGCCGATGTTATTGGCATTAGATCGGCAATGAAGAATAAAGCAATATAAAGCTAAATCTACTCAATCGGCTATAGATATCAACGATATATAATCCTTCTCTCGAAATATGTTTAAACTAAGTGATTGGATAGATCGAAGAGCAAGTCGAGACAGTATAAATCACTTATGTTTAAAGATACTTTAAGATAACGATTATACATACGTTTATAGCATAGCCGATCAAATAGCTAATACTCCGATACCACTCTATATTAAGATGTTAGAACAGACGAAATATATCAAACAGAAGGACTTGATATACCTTAATGCAATAAGATCTTAATATAAAGGGCGGATTTAGCATGTCAAGCGAACATATAGGGTATAAAATAGCTAAATCAGGTAAGATCGGCTGAAACCCCGATGCTATCTCTATTGGTAATCATAAAACAGGCTAGACAGATGCAGCATTAAGCATAAGAATAAATATAAGATCTAGACAAGATGATGAAAACCTCTAAGAGATGTTAGATATGCTATATAATCTAGATTAAAAACAAGATCTAACTCTATCGGCTACTCTCTAGCGATAGATACAAGCCGATTGCAAGTTAGATTGTGAAACTAATAAAGATTATGAAGCATATATGATAACTCGACGATTTACATAAACAACATTAGAGTATCGTAACGACGGAAGCACTAATTGTCACGCCCTGAAAATCGCCTAATTTAATAATTCATTCTTTAAATCATTTTTAGAAATTATTTTTAAAAGACTACAAGTTAAACTCTAACAATCCAGGAAAAATTTCAACATAAAATTGAGATAGATAAAATTTCATTAAATACTTTGCTTGTTTATCTATTTTCTAGATTTTTCTGGGAATTATTTGAGCAAAGGAAGTATTTTTAATAAATGAAACATCATTTCACGAATTATTTTAATTGGAAAAGTTTTAAAATTCCCCCCTAGGCCGTTGGGCCCTTTCCGGCCCAACATCCCTCTCCCTCGCGCATGGCCGTGCGGCCCACGCCGGCCCAATCCAAGCCGAGCCGCCCCTCCCCTCCTCTAGCCGCCAACATGTGGGGCCCACATGTCGGGGTCATCCCCTACCTCCGGCCGGGCCGAGCCAAGCCCGAGCACCGCCGCCTCTCCTCCGATTCCGCCTCAACCAGTCGCCCCCGAGTCCGATTGCTTGAGCGAAAATCCTCTCCTCCTTATCCTCTCCCTTTCCCCTAAGGTTTCGGGGATCAATTTTGCCCGGATAAACCTAATCGAATTCATTTTGAGCTTATCTCTTCAAACTAACCCTAGTTTTTCCCGGCTCGTTTCCTCTCGGCTGGAGTCCGATCTCTCTAATCCAAGCCTTTATAAAGCATCCCCTAGTCGTCCTCTACGTTTCCCCTCAAGTCCCGAGCCTCGCCGTCGCCCGTAGCGCCGCCGCCGCGTAGCCCTAGCGCCGCCGCCGCCGACGCCGCTCCAGCCGCTCCGCGCCGTCGCCGTCCGTCACCGCCACCGGGTTCGCACGGTGGAGGAGCACCCCGTCCGCCCCTTCGCCGTCGTCGTAAGCCGCCGGAACGCCGCCGCCGTCGTCGAGCCAAGCCGCGCCGCCGTTAGTCCTCGTCGCCGGTCGCCATTTGTCGTCGTCCGTCGTAGTTTCTTGCACCGGTGAGTTCGCGTCGTCGTCCTCTTCGCGTAGGTGTTCTCGGATAGCCCAACCGAGCTCTCTTTTGCCGGTGGTCGCGTGGAGCCGTGCCATGGCCGGTGATGATGTCAGCGATGACGTCATAAATCCTTTTTATTTAGTTTTCTCTATTAAATGAAAATCGATTAAACTTCAGAACTCATCGTAACTCGGATTCGAGTGGTTGAAGTTGCTAAATTCATCTAAATCAAGATCAACATGTTAAAAATATCCACATGTACTGTTTATGCTTGTTTTTGTACTGTTTTGTTGATTTTGTTTATTTGCTTTAGTTTCCGACGTTCCGGAGGAGAGCGTTTTCTTTGAGGAAGGTTCGGAAGCATTTGAAGAAGCTCAAGGCAAGTCACACAGATCCCAAACAACCCTTTGAGCATGTTGAACCCGTTTAAAGCTAATGTTTTATTTCAACTGATGCATTATTTTCGAATGTCATCGGGTGGTGAGCCTTTTCCAATTAATTAATGGCCGAAGATGACTTTATTTTTCCTATGGGTTATAATTTGATTAGCTAGAACCTTATATATTGGTTTGGTTCAGCTAAATGCTATATGTATAATTGCTTAGCCATACTTAGAAACATTAGCTCATTAATGGGATGAATCATACTACATTATTAATTATGGTTATATTTAATGGTAGCTCACGATGGTTAATCGTGTTATGATAATTAATTGATAATTAAAACCTGATTAAAGGTGGGTTGTGAGCATATGGTTTTGATGGTTGTGCTCATGACAATTAAGGACCGGTTCGCGAGCTACTGTTGTGAAACATTAACCGTGCCAACCAAAAGCCAGCGTAGGCAACGGCTTTACCTTTTGTATAGCATGGTTCATTACGGGGTGCCAGACTGAAAAGCAGCGAGAAGTCCGTGGGGGTCGCTGGGGAGTCCATTGGCTCTGGTTTTGAGGGGGAGATTATGATCCAGGAACGGTGCACTGTGGTTAGTTGTGTTGTGTGAGAGGTATTGTCACAGTTCCTTTCCAAGGTATCGTGGTGGTATCGAGGCGCATGGTAACATGTTGTGGAGCTGTGTCTTGTGGGTACAGTGGTATATCTTTGGCCAGAGTAAAACTATTCGAATAGCTGTGCCTGTGGTTATGGGTGGGTTTAACAACGTTTTTCGTGATTAGTCTCACACTACTCATTAATGATAATGCTGTGATAATTAATTTGACTCCTGGTTTGGAATGGTATATTCCTGGTATGGAGGTTTGATCTGTACAACCGGGGTTGGTTGTTCGGATGAGGTTGGGCCTATGCGACACGGGTGTGTTGTATAGTGTTTATTTAATATTGCTTAATTACTCAACTGTTTTACTATTCTCTCAAATGTTTATTAATTGCTGTTTATGCAAATAAGCTATATAATGCCATCCTTTGTTATCTTGTGCACTTGCATATTTGTTGTGTGGCTTGTTGAGTATGTCATATGCTCATTCTTGCAATATTCATTCATCAGAGGAGGAGTACTTCAGTGAAGGTGATGATCAGGAGGATTAGGCTTTGTTCGGGTCAAGTTGCTTGTGGAGTGGAGTCGCCATAGCTGTTTAGTCTTTTGTTTTTTTTCTGCTGCGTAGAATTTTATTCTTTTGAGAGGAACTATCCACCTCTGTAATAATTTATTATTTTGCGAATATTAATTAGTAGTTTGATAGTACTATATTATCAATTTGTTATTGTGTGCCTCGGCTGATTCCTGGACGAGGATTTAACGCACATGTAAGCGTTTTGAATTTTGGATAGAAATTCCGGGCGTAACACTAATCCTGAGAATGCAAGCCGCCATGACAAGTTTACCTCTTGTCGAAGATCGAAATCGATGCAGCTCAACCCGAAAGTAAGAACTCGTCGAAATAA